ATTTTAAAGAGATCCTCTCGTTAAAGAACACCAGCAAATGCTGGGTAAAACATTTGAAACACCATAATTTAAAAATGCATGGCTGGGGACTTCCCTGGTGGCGCAGTGGTTAAGAATCCGCCTGCCAATGCAAGGGACATGGGTTCGATCCCTGGTCCAGGAAGATCCCACATGCTGTGGAGCAACTAAGCCTGTGTGCCACAACTACTGAGCCTGAGCACCACAACTACTGAAGCCCATGTGCCTAGAGCCTGTGGTCCACAACAAGAGAAGCCACCACAATGAAAAGACCGTGCACCGCAACGAAGAGTATCCCCCTCTCACTGCAACTATAGAAAGCCCGTGCACAGCAACGAAGACCCAACACAGCCAAAAATTAAAATAAAATAAAATAAATTTATTTTAAAAAAATGCATGGCTGAACTAGATGTTCATGGAAAAATCCTCAAAGATCAGAAAGAGAGAGTTGAGTGAGACCTGAAGCTAAGGTTTGCTCTGGGAATAGCCACCAATTTTTGGTGACCTGAAGATTGGGTCTGAAGGCCTTGTATGAGGTCAGGAAACCAAGTCTAAAGCCTGCACCAAAGTGGGAAATTGGACTGGACCCCCTGAAAGGGGACCCACAGTGAGTGAATCAGGAAAAATCATGCCGCATGGAAATGGTAGGGATCCTTGCTGTATCAGTTTTCTATCGCAGTATAACAAATTATCACAAGCGTAGATGGTTAAAACAGTACACATTTCTTTTCTCAGTTTCTGTGGGTTAGAGGCTGGGACACAGCTTAATAGGGTTCTGTTTCAGGGTCTCACCGGGGCTACAGTTCAGGTATTAGCTGGGGCCTTGGTTTCATCAGAGGCTTGGCTGGGGAAAATCCACTTCCCCTATTTGGTGGACAAATAAATTTTCTTTCAGCTGTATAACTGAGGGCCCTGGTTGTCAGCTAGAGTCTGTCTTCAGGTCCTAGAAGCTGCCTGCAGTTCCCTGCCATGTGGTCCTGTCCACAGGCAGTTCACAACCTGGCAGTTTGATTCTTCAAGGCCAGCAGGAGAGTCTCTCTCCAGCCTGCTAAGATGGAGTCTTAACACAACGTAATGTAGTGATCGGAGTGCAAGTCTAGAATCATGTTATCTTCCTCCAAACAAGGTTTCTTTTATTGCTTTTGCCAGCCACCTGGGGGCACCAGCAATCTGTGATCACCTTAATCCAAGTTCGGGGCTTGAGTTTTTACTGGGTCATCTGTTCACAGCAGGACACTGTTCATTAAGGACTGGTTATTTTTTTATTTATTTATTTTTGGCCACGCCCCACAGCTTGCAGGATCTCAGTTCCCCAACCAGGGTTGAACCCACGCCACACCTGTGAAAGCCCGGAATCCTAACCTCTAGGCCACCAGGGAACTCCCAAGGGCTGGTTATTTCTGTCTTCATCTTTATTCTTAGAGTGCAGCTGACTGTGCGAATGGTAGTGGTGGTGGTAGGCAGTGGTGGTTTACTAGGGTCTCTATTCTTGATGGGTCCTGGACTCCATCTTTTGTTCCTCTAGCCCTGTGAAGTGACCAAAAACATGACTAAGTGTCTTAGCCATCTCTTTCAGATGGGCAAATGCTCCCAGGACAAAAATGGTCCTGAGGGCTAACCTCACCTGTCTGAATTTCCACTCTCTCAGTTCTTGATTTGACGATGTCTCATGATCTCTGGGTGCTTTAACATTTTTTAATTTTTATTGGAGTATAGATGATTCCCAGTGTTGTTAGTTTCTGCTGTAAAGCAAAGTGAATCAGTTATACATATACATATATCCACTTTTTTAGATTCTATTCCCATACAGGTCATTATGGAGAAGTGAGTAGAGTTCCCTATGCTATACAGTATGTTCTTATTATCTATTTTATTTTATTCTGTTTTTTTGGGGGGAGGACGATAATCTTTTTAGTAGACTGTGCTGAAACAATTGGGAATTCATATGAAAAACAAAAAAGGCTTAAACTATTTCACACCATCTACAAATTATGTAACATATCCTTACCTGTAGGAGCTAAAATTACAAAACTTCTGGGTTAGGCAGAGATTTTTTTTTTTTAATTTTTATTGGAGTGTAGTTGATTTACAGTGTTTTTAGCTTCAGGTGTACAGCAGTGAATCAGTTATACATATACATATAGCCACTCGTTTTAGGTTCTTTCCTCATATAGGCCATTACAAAGTATTGAGTAGAGGTCCCCATGCTATATAGTAGGTTCTTATTAGTTATCTATTTTATATATAGTAGTGTGTGTATGTAAATCCCAACCTCCCAATTTATGCACCCCCCCCAACACTTTCCCCCTGGGTAACCATAAGTTTGTTTTCTGCATCTGTGACTCTATTTGTTTTGTAAATAGGTTCATTTGTACCATTTTTTTAGATTCCATATATAAGTGATATCATATGATATTTGTCTTTGTCTGACTTACTTCACTCAGTATGACAATCTCTAGGGCCATCCGGTGCTTTAATATTTTTAAGATATGTTTTATATTTCACCCAGATGCGAAAAATTTCTTCAGTAGGAGAGCTGGTCTGAATTACCTAGTCTACCATTACTGGAAGCAAAGTTACAGCATTTTGCATCTTAATTGCATTTAACCTCAGCAACAAAGTTGCAGGAATCTAAATCTTAATTTTCTTACTCCAACAAACAGAAAATTTACTTATAAGCCAGGTACGTTTTATAATCTTAATAAAGAACAAAGTCTTTAGAATAAATCTTACAAAAAAAGGTACAGGACCTTAACAGAGAACATTAAAAATTTTAATGAAAAACACTATGACCCAATAAATAGAAGCATAATCCCTAATTTAATTACTTCCCCTGGTGTCATTTGTAATGTCCCTCTATCTCCTGCATTTCCTGGAAACTGGAATTTACATCTTAAGTCCTGAGAGATTCAGGTTAAATACGTCTGGCTAGATTACATCACAGGTGATACTGTCTACTTCGTATTTCAGCAGATCAGGAAAGATATCTGGTTATTCCACCATGAATGATGCTAAGAATAACCAGTGAATTAGGTAATTGACCACTTGATGGAATGATCTTCAGATTCTTATTAGTTATCATGGATTAGAAATTATTTTTATAGTCATTACAAAATTTATGACAAAAGAACCCAACATTTCCCTTTTATCACTGACAAATGTAATCCATTTCTTTTGCTAATACAAAAATACTTCAAATCAATTGAACTTTTTCATACCATACATTTAAAAAATAACTGTGATACTCTTGAGACTGCACAACCAATTACCATGCAGCCAATTTGTACATACCAAATCACATCCACCACATAGAAATGAATTTCTGGTATTCTGAAGGTAGAGATTTGGGGCTGTAGTCTGGAGTTTCGCCTCTAGGAAACCTGCTCAGCTTATTACCTCCTTTTCATTCCTGACTGGCTTCACTTTGGGTTGTGATACCATGCTCCTTGGGCACAGGTAAACAAACTCCTCCAGCACATCCTTGTCCAAAAGGAGCAGCATATGCTCTACAGCTGGCTGCAACAGTAAAGTCCAGGTGTCAGAGCTTCGTGTTGGCTATCCATAACATGTTGTTAAGTGTTGCTGTGAGTACAGGATGTCATTCATCCGGCTCCCTGGTTCTGGGGACTATGGGGCACACTGTCAGTCTCTGCTTGGATCTGATAGCCTTATGAGGAGACCGAGATGAAACTGTTCTCATTCTGAAGTGACTGGCCAGAGGACTTTGACAGCCTCATGCCTAGCCTAGCTGCCTTTGCGAATGCAAAAAAGCAACTTTGTGGCTTACACGTACTGGTGCTAATCTGTTAACTCACCAATTGTAGCTGGTCCTATAACTTCCCAACCCTTCCCTGGGTTATCCTTCAGCTTCTCTAACCTTTGGACCAGGTGTGTGAGGAAAGGCTTGGGGTTTTGCAGGACAATCATACCATGAAGATCTGAGGTAATAAAAACTGACAAGGGTTTCAGTCCGTGCTTGTGATTTCCACTTGTTCCTACCCGCTCCCATTTCACACCCACCTTCCCTTCTTAAATGCCTGCTCCATGCACGTCAAGCTCCTTCATCAGAAACAAAGATTAAGAGCTTACAGAGATTGCTTAACCAGCTCCCATGACAGCATAAAGTCAAATCCCTTACCTATAAACATATAACCTAGTAGCTCTGCTTCTCTGACTGAATGCTGACTGATACAGTTACGTACAAGGAAACTGATGAGGTTATTGAGACTACCTAAAATGGTGCTTGTCATTACACTCTCCAAACACCTAAAATCTGTACTGTATCACATATTCTTACTGCCTTTCCAGTAGATATTTAACTCCTTGAGGTAGGAACTTTTTATCTCTGTATGACCAGTGCAGGATTGTGCTTAGCACAGCAATTCTTTGTTTAATGAATAATCTGGAACACCTCTGCTGACCCTATCAAAATCTCCTTTAAGTAACATCTTAATAATGATATCAGTCTGATTTCTATATAAGATGAATACATTAGCCATCAATAAATAAATAAATACTGACTTAAATGATTGTTATATAATTAAAACCTTAGGAAGTCAATGAAAATGGCAATTATCCATATGGTACGTATTTTCAAATATTTCCTATTATGTAAGTTATCCATCTGTTTACAAGTAAATCCTTATAAAAGTATGGGAGAATTAAATATAGACAAACTAATGGAAGGGCAGAATCTTCTAACTATCTGCTGGATTCTTCAGAGTGATTTTATGACACATTGAGTCCATAATATTTTGTTGACATACTACTAAAATGAAAATAAAGTCAATGATATAATTTGATATACAAGATTTCCTTTAGTTATTTTAAAAATACTGAAAAGTTTTAAATTTTCCATAACCTGTCAGCAATAGCTTACCACTAATAGTTTTATAAACAATATTATCAGCTCAATGACATCTTTAATTTTTACCCATATAATATTGAAATAACATTTCAGAAAATTATGCATCTTGAAAAACTTTGTTTCAACCGTCACTTTATTGTAAGATGGCTGAATTAATTCAAATTTAAACTCTAACTTGACAATTTTTAGTCAGGTACCAAACTTTATTCAAAGCAAACTGCTTATTCACAAGTGATCATGGAACAACTCAAAATGCAGAGCAAGAAGGATGAGAGAAACATCTTACTGGCCAATAGATTGTTTTAATTCTCTCATTATATGAAACTCAAACTTTTCATTTTTAGGAAAGGGAAACTAACTTCAGTATAGAGCAATACAGAAAGATTTTGTCACATAGACTAGTTTCCATTTAGTCAGTCAACTGTTTCTAGCTGTCTCAATTGGGACAGATGCATTTACAGAGCTGGCTGTGCTTGAGCCTTCTTTGCAAGCAGCTTTAGATCTGCAATGCACCTGGCAATTGTCTCCTTCTCCTGTGATAAGGAAAGAGAAAGCTGGTTAGAACTTTTCAGATCATGGAAGGGAATAAACACTGTAATTCTAAAGGATACCTCCTATAAGAGGTTCCTCAGAATCTTAAGATGGATTACTGGCTTAATATGAGACTACAAAAAATTATTTAATTATTTAACATGGGGGAGATGCAAAATTTATTTTAAGCAAATGGAGGGAATTTAAAGTCCCCTGGCTCATAGCTTTCATGAGTGAAACCTGTTTAGAGGTTGAAGCTAGATACTCCTATAACCATGTGCCACTGATGTTAGGTTTTACAGCTAACACCTGCTTGAAAAAGACCAACCTAACAAACATTAGTAATAGAGAAATGTTAAGAAAGAATAAAAATAACTTTTAGTCTCTTTTGTATACTTTTGTCTTTTCAAGTTTCTTAAATAAGTATATCACTTTTATGTAAAAGACAGTTTATTTTAAAAAACCCAAGGCATTAAATGTTGACAGACCCTGTTTTTCTAGTCCTGCATGGTTATGCAGAAAATGATCAGAAATGCCTAAGTATACTATAAATCTAGGAAAGAAGAAATAAAGTCAAAAGTAAATAAAGAACATAAAATTTAAAAAGGAAATCACATTTAGGTAAAAAATAGAAAACATTTCTGTTCAAGACCAATGAATTAAGTGGCTGGGAAGAGGAAATGGCATGGAATGGAAATCATGGAATTATTCAGAAAATGGAAGAGGCTCAGAAGTAGACTTGTCCAGCCTCTGTTTTACAGAGAAAGGAAATATGTTGCTTAATATTTCCCAAATGTTGGAACTTGAACATACATCTGTTCAACGAGTGTTCTCAACCCTCTTTCCACTCTTTTTGATCCATGAGGTGAGAGACTCTTTGGAAGCCAAACTTTGAGGAGGGAGGCAACCTACCAAGGCAGTTGTACAGCATCTTCTAGGTTACCACTAACCAGAAAAGTGAACCAGGACCACCCAATGTCTCTAGGCTAAAGACTCCTTACCAGCTATTTTTATCCTGTCAAAGACATCAATACAACTCCAGAAGCTTCAAAACATTATGTACCTGCTGCGCAGAGATGCTCTGTACCACATTCTTCTCCACCCAGTTTATCATGTGCTCTTGTTCCTTTTGACGTATCATATTCTGCACAGAGATGTGATAGTCCAGGCGATTCTTTACCTCCTTGTATACTCTATGCAGTCGTTCCCGGTAAGTAACTTCCAAAGCCATGGCAATGTTATTCTGAAGAAAATTAAGAAGTGATGAAAACTGTGTGCACAGTTAAAGGATCACTTCCATTCTGAGGATTCTGCCCATTAGAATACCCATCATTACCTGTATTTTATGCAAAATTCATTTGTTTAATATGAATAGGTAACACATGCATGTAGTAAAAAAATTCTAACAGCATATAGTAAAAATATATTTAAAAGTATATGCAGTAAAAAGTAAGTCTCCTCCAGCCCCTCCATAGGCTACCATCTTCCTCTATTTCTTGTATTCTCTCCCAGAAATTTTAATAAACAAAACGTAGGTATATGTACACACACGAACATCACTTTTACTAATTATGACACAAAGACCCACCTTAATTTTAAAAGTTACATTGGATTCTACTATTTTGGTGTCTCATAATCCATAATTTATTTAAGCTCTATTAAGAGATTAGGTTGCTTCCAATTCTTTAACAAATAATGCTGCTGCGTATATTGTATGTGTCTTTGCACTTATGTATGAATACTTGCTGGGTCAAATACTAGCTAATAACTGTTGAGTACCTACTATGTTCTAAACACTGAGTGTCAATTCAATTAAATCTTAAAATCACACCATGGGATAGTTACTATTATTATATTCATTTTACAGTGAGGAAGAAACAGAGGCAGATGCTAAGGAATTTGTCCAAGGTTATAGAGCAAATGAACTGTGAAGCCAAGACCTGACTACAAGGCGTCAGGCTACAAAGCCCAGGCTCTTAAAGATCCATTTTAACTTGTGATTAACTGTCCAATTCCACAGAAAAGTTGTACTGCTTCATACTCTCACCAGCAACACAAATGCTTGTTACTCTAAACCCTGACCAATGGTGTTTATAAAACATTTTACTCTCGACTATTCTGATAAGCAGAAAAAAATATCAATTTTAATTGTCATTATCTAAGGAGAAAATTTACATTATTTAGAAGCCATTTACTTACATCTTTATAAATTGCTCATGTCCTACACCTAGTTTTCTACTGGGATGTTGGTCTATCCTAAGGTAACTACCCTTTTGTGTCACATGGAATGCATGTATTCTTCCTAGTTTGTCTCTTAACTTTGTTTATGGTAACTTCTACATGTAAAACTTAAATTTTTAATGAGATCAACTTAATTTTTCCTCTTATAGTTCCTGGATTTTCAAAAATTGAAGTATAACTGACATACAATGTTACATTAATTTCAGGTATACAAACACAATGATTCGTTATTTGTATATACTGTGAAATGATCACCACAATGGGTCTAGTTAACATACGTCACCATGCAAGTTTCTGCATTTTGTTGTCTTTATTAGAAAGGCTTTGCCATTCCAAGGGTATTGTATTGTTTTTCATGTTCTTTTTCTACTTCTATGGTTTCATTTCTTATCTAAAGATCTTTAATTCATCTTAAATTTGTTTTGGTATAAGGCAAAAAGTAGGAAAACAACCCTGTACCTACAAAGATACCCGTCTATCTTTCCCCTCTAAGATGAAAATGCCACCAATCTAAACTACCTTATGCGTTTAGGTCTATCTCTAGACCCTCTCTCTCAAGTGCTGTGCCAATCTGACTTTCTATTGATGTAGTGTGCCAAGCTATTTATTTAAAGTTCCTTTACAATTTTGAGCTTCAATATTTGGTAGGACTGTTCATTACTTCTCTTTTTCAGAATACTCCTGAATATTTTTTACTTTTTCTAGTAATAATCAATTTCTTCAAGTCACAACACCCCCTACCCCTAGTCTATTAGTATTTTCTTTCTAGGAATGTGTAAAATTTAGAGATTAAAGTAGGGAGAATTTGATATCCTTATATTATTGAGTCTAGGTTCTTAGAACCTTATACCTCACAAGCATTTCACATTTTTCAAAGTAAAAAGACTACATTTCTAGTTAAGTTTACTCCTAGGTATCTCTTCCTAAATGGTTTACCTTTTTCTCTTATATTTTCTAACTGATATTTGTATATAGCAGGCTAATGATTTTGTTCATTAGATATTAATTTTGTACCCAGATACCTTACTGAATTTGCTTATGGTTTTAAGAGTTACGTTGATTCTCTCAGCTTTCTGAGGTATATAATCAGGTAATCTATAAGTAAGGATAACTTTATGTTTTCTAATTTTTATACTTCTTATTTCTTTCTCTTCTCTAATATCAGCTACTACTGCCAGAATAACATTGAATTAGTAATGGTGACAGGTATATTGTCATCTTCTAGTCTGTAATGAGAATCCTTATAGGTCTGCCTGTTTTATATAAAGGCTTGAGATATTAATCTCAAGTAGCCCTAGGTACATTTTTTTTTTTTTTAGTCCATTCACTCTTCTGTTCTTCTTTCTCCTGAAATCTCTAGTATATCTCCTTGACTACTTTACTTTTCAACAAATGACCTACCTTCCTATTTCACTGAGAAAAAGCAAACAAAGAACTTCACAAACTTCTACCACCATATAAACCAATCTACCTGGACCCATACTCACATACTTTGCCTTCCTTTCTTTAACTATGGCTGAACTGTCTCTGCTCTTGAAGCCAACCCTTCCACCTGTGTATTCTAAACTCTCTGGCCTACTGAAGGACATTGCTCCAGCAAATTCCTCCCTACTCCCACCCCTTTCTTGCATCAATTTTTCTCTCTCTACTAACTTCTATCAGATGCTAACATGTAGTTATACTTTCCATCTTTTAAAAAATCTCTCTTGATTACTACATCCAACCTTCTGAGCTACTGAGTAATTTCTTTGCCCAATACAGTAAAACTCCTTCACAATTTTGACAGTGATCTATACTCAGACTCCAATTTCTTTTCTTCCATTTTTTTTTTCCTTCAACTTACTCAAATAGCCCTTACCAAGGTCACCAACCTCCATGTTGCTAAAGCCTATGCCAAACTCTTAGACCCTTACTACTTGACCATAAGTAGGGCAACTACAAATTAAAATAATCCTTGTTTCCTCCAGTTATTTTCCTTCATGTTCCAGTCTTACAGCTGTGCCTCTTGTAAGCTCATGATTCCCTCATCTCCAGTCTGGAATTCTCCTCAGTGATTCCAGACTCATATATCTTTTTTTTTTTTTTTTTTTTTTTTTTTTTTTTTTGCAGCATGCAAGATCTTAGTTCCCCAACCAGGGATAGAACCCATGCCCCCTGCAGTGGAAGCACAGAGTCTTAACCACTGGGCCACCAGGGAAGT